ATGGCCGCAGCCGCGCGGACCATCACAGTCTGCGGCGCGGCTCCCCGGGGCTCACGCCGCAGCGAGCGCCGAGGAGAGGACGTTCTCCTCTCAGATGAGCCGACGTTCGTGTCCTGCAACAAGGTTCTGCAGCCTGTGAGCTGCGGAGAACGTCGAGCCCGCGACCGGTCGGATACCCTGGGCACCAGCTGCCAGCGGTTTCCTACTGGAGTCACCAAAGGTTTGGTTTTTTAACAATTATTTTAAGAATATGTGCTTGAACATAAAATTCTTTCAAAAGCAAATTCAAAGCTCTGTGTGCAAATGGAACCGGACTACTTTGAACTTTTTCTCTCTATCGATTTCTATGATTCCCTCTACTCATAAGGACAAGAACACGATATTGGGCTGTCACTAACAGTCTATAAAAAGCCTGATTAATTGCACTTTCTGCTATCCCTGACTGTTGCAGCTGCACGACCAGCTCTGCAGGTACCTCTCCCAGCCCAGACAGCCCACGCGTCCAGCCTGCCTGCTTGGGCGGTCTCGGGCAGCGCTTTCTAAACACCGGTTACAAAATGCATCTTCAGAGGAAAAAGGAAAATAAAATGTATGTTGTCTCGCAACACAGAGGGGACCAACCAAGCGCTTCAGCCTAGGCTTCAGCCTCCAGCGAGCAGCAGTAAACAGTTTTTCCCCACTCAGATGCTTTGTGAGGTCTCTTCCAGACACACGGCCAGAGCCCACACAGGAGCACTGGGCTGAGCTGCTACACCTGGGGCGAGTCTCCTCACTCGTCTTACACGTCATGAAATAACCAGCAAAAAAAAACAGGGGAGAGACTCTTCACTTGCACTAAATCAGGAAAATCAGACCCGCTGGTTCTAAAGGGACCAAGGTGACTTTGTCAGAACGATGCTGGCACCCTGCTAAAGTATTTATCCCAGCATCTTCTGCAGTCCTCCACATTGTCTTGGAGATACATGATTGCATTTCAGTAGTCCACAACATGATTCCAATACAAGCTTTGGAATTCCAATATTATTTGCAAAATCAGGCTGGCACAGAACCTTTAAGCTCCCAGCTGGGATGATTTCGAAGAGGAACAGTGAACTTTACATCTTCTCAAACATCTTTAGAACCAGCCGGAGGTGCTTCCTACGGGCTGCTCTCCCTCATGGAATCACCAGCCACGCGCCCCTGGTTGTGCTTCAGCAAGACAAGAGCAAGCCTGGGTGGTCCCCAGCCTACAGCTCAGCCCCACCAAACGCAGGAGTGCAGGAAGGTAGCTTAAAATGAGGAAGAGAACAACAAAATTCCGCCACAGGGACTTGAGTCAAGTCTAACACAGAGTCATGAGAAGAAACACACCGTTAAATAAGGACTTTTCCAGACACGAC